AGTTATAAATATTAAAAAATTAATAATAATATATATATATATTTGTTTATTTTAAACTAGCGTAACTTCTACATATAAATTGATAAATTCGTTTCAAAAATAATAGCTCTTTATTTTAGAATATAAAGATAAAATATTCTATTTAAGAGAATAAATATTTCTAAATTTTATTTTAAAATATCTCTCTTTTAATATTTTATAAACAAATAATTTATTCAAATAACTTTATTCAATTTACATTAGATTTTTAAATACGATGTTGAATTCTCCTTTTTGTTCTTTAATAATTACTGCAACCGAATAATTAAAATCGCAAAGTAGTTTGAAATTATCTCAGCTGAAAAATGATAAAGGACATCTTTATTATCTAATCATCAAAATAGATTTTTCCGAAAACGAAGTCTTGCATGAAAATGTTTTAATCCACTCTTTTGATTTTTCCACATCGAATTATCACGTTTCCGCGCGATTGTATCAACACAGCAGAGGATTATCCTCTATATTCGACTTGTAAATTGATATTCGATCGTTTACAGGAGGATTTAATTATTCGATTTTGCGGCGGTTTTATAACGGACACGCCATGTCCCACGGAAACCGAGAGAAACTTGGAACGTCGAGGAGAACCTGTTGCGAACGCAGCCAGGCTACTCGACGCGTGCACATATGATGCCATATACATAGCATATCGAACTGGTATACTGTTCTAGATGCCGAGCCGTTGTTGACGTTCTGACACAGGTTGTTACGCGATTATCTCAGAATTTTCCGATCAGGTCAATTCACCGCATTTCACTCGTGCTCGCTCGCGTCCGCATTTGCATCGAAAACATATTTCGTTTGTTTTCAAAAACTGGAATTTTAAATGACATTGTAATGCTCTCGTGATACTTCCGTTGAACAAGGAGAAAATATTATAGGAAAAATTACAATATAATTTTTATAATCGTGGAACATACTAACATATAAAAAAAATCACGATATTTTTTAGTAATATTAATATTATATATTTTATAAAGGAGTATTGTAATTATTCAAATATTTTAATGCACAAACAAATGCATGATCATTAACAAACAATAGAACAAATACATAATTTACAATTTTTATAGTAATAAATATCTTAAATGTCATTATATTTCAGCTTTCCGATAAATGTTGTAAAAAAGAATGTATTTTCCATGTAATTTACTGTAAAATTTTCTCTCCGTGAAATTGCAGTTGAATTTACACAAATATCGTAAGATTCTTTCCGTGGAAAAAGAAATTGCTCGTTTTCTAGTGAACCGATATCAAAAAGCTTAGCGCATCGCAATCCCTGTGAGCGTCTTTTTATTAGCCAGAAGCACGCCGGAGATTATATCTTTCGGAGGGATGAATCTAATCTCTGAGAGCGGAGTAGCCGAAGAGCGAGTTGCTCGGGAATTGGCATAATAATCGGAAGTTCCATCCAAGTTCTATCAAACTATACGAGCGCGTGCGCGCGTTATCCGCTCCAATCCTGCTTATATATCTGTATATCGATATATCGTTGTTCAGAAACTAGGAGAAGTATGACTATCAATTGTTGGTTATCCTTCGTTCACGGACATGCCACTGTTGAACTATAGTTACACGTCGCTAAACCGATCGTATCGATAATTCGTGAAGTGACTCACGTTCCTGTTTAATAGACAGATGTATATACATGTTGACGCTAACATGTTTCGAAACGATTACGATATACACAAAAAGAAGAAGAGAGAGAGAGAGAGAGAAAGATCGATAGATAATTTACAAAAGGTTTTATAAAAAGAATTTTTATAAAAAAAAGATTGGACACAAAAAGATTTCATTTCACATTTTCGACCCATCTCTTTTCATGTAGAATCATCCCCTATCATCCACAACGGACCATCATATATACATGCCGTTACGTACGAACGAAAGTAAAAATTTGCTACAACATGTATATAGCCAGCTGTGGAAGAATTCCCTTCGCGTGCCCGTTCCGCTTAAGAGAATTTCATATTTAGAGCCGTCTGCCTTCGCGGTATATTCAGAGATTGGAATATTCCTGAGATGTCTGAAGTTTCACGAGAAGTTTATACGCGTACTTGAACATGCGCATATACATACATACATATATGTATATACCGAGACACACGAGAGATTTATACTTCTTGCGCTCCTCATTAGCTCGGAAATCACTGTGCGACGTTTAATAATAACTTTCATTGCACGTTACACCAGTTGAATCGTACATATATCTTTCTCAGCGATTTATACGAGTATAATAAGTAGTGTTGTTTGCAGTTTCTCTCGTAATACCTTTCTATTCGTCCTATGTGTCTAAATATTCAGAGATGTCTCGCTGTCTTAAAAGTTATATATTTTACTCTATATTTTTTATTTATTAATCGCTAGCACTAATGTAACTAAACGACGAGAGCATCGAAGAAACGTGTCTCATGATTTTCCACAAATCGAGATAGAATTCGAGATACATGTTCCTTGTTTCCCAAACGCACGTAGCATTCCGAGTTTATAACTTAGTGATTTCCGTGAGAATATGCGGCGCGCTTCGCGAACAAATCGATCGAGGTCGGAGGAAAAAAGGAATTGTCAAAAGGTGATTTCCTTTCTCGCTACATAGCGGAAACTGGCCATCGAGCCCCATGGAGAAAGTGAACGTATCAAAAATCGCATATATACTCATACAGACACGTATCAAAACTTCGTCATCCTTTCTCTCGCGCGCGCGCGCATCAATATATATTTATATCGAAATACACGTTGTGCTTGGAATTTGATTTCGACATGCCTGTCGGTATCCGTTTGAGGCGAGAAAATGATTGCTCGCGGTACGCGGCGACCGTATTGATTCCTTGACTTTACTTTGAAATACTCGAGATAAGAAATGATGTAAGAGAAAGAAGAGAGTGAAGGCGAGAAAATTGCAGAATGTCGAGGATGATTGATTATTTTCTCTCGGTTATCGGTGCTGACGGAAAGCATAGTAATATACATATATAACGGGAGTGCGTTATTATTCCAGTCACAGTGTACTTTCACACGCGGACGCAAAAATGTCAAAGATGTCATCATTATTAACGTGATAGATGTGTTTTGTTTCATACGCCAATACTATTCGCGGGACGCGAAAACCGAAAATTTTACTCCAAACGTAAGAGTCACTCTTGCTCCGCGAATCGTATCGCGAAGTCGCAAAGTTGTGAAAGAAAGTGGCAAGTAAATTACCTGTAATAAAAATGCAAGGAATGTCCAGCCGTTGATTGCCTCGAATATCTCGGATAGGGCAGAGTACACTTTTTCAAACTCACCACCGGCATATAAAATGCATATCCCTGTTAAAGAACAAAACAGAAACACAAATATACGGGAATGATACTTATTATAATAGTTACTGTCGGAAATTACTTGGCCACACATTTTTAATTAAATATTGGCCGCCAAATACATTTAGTAATTTAACTAATTAATTTACTTTGCTGTGTATATATGTTTATTATTCGCGGTCGTCTCCCTCTCCCTTTTTATTCTTTGTACATATTTTTTACTTTGTTGTGTACCGTCCTTCTTTTACGTTTTATTTCGTTATAATATTTTTTAAATCTTCTTTTTATAATATATTCTTTTTTATAAGGAATTATATATTTTCCGAGAAAAATAAAAAACTCCTACGATAACGGAAATTAAATCGCGTTGACGCGTTATAAAGCAGAATATTTTAGGATAACGTGAACAATAAGAAACTTGGAGTTTTTTCCTCCCTTTTGCTACATTCTCTCGACTCATCTATCCTTCCATGTCTTTCGGAGAATTTGGGTCGTTCACTCGGTACAAAAGAGTGTGAGTTTCTACACCGGCGCGACTCTCTCCTCTTTCTTTCCTTTTTTTACGGCTACGAGGATACTGCTGCTACTGTCTAATCTGGCAGCTCGTTTCATTTCCCCGGCGATTTGTCCCGCGATGTCATCTCAAAAACGTCTTAAATCCGTAGAAGGGCAATTTGGATATTGCCTAAGTAGGATGTAGCTTCTGTTGGTCGAGTGGAAGCCAAGACGGAGAAAACGAAACAAGTCGGAACAAAATAAAGCGGATATGTGGAATAAAGACGATCGTACATAGCAATTTAAATTTGAATGTTACATTCGCTTTCCGTTTCCGCTTATTTTTCATTTCTCTTTTCTTTCGAAATGTTATATTTTCGCGTGCGCTATATTTTGCGCATTAGAGACAACGCGCGACAAAGCGCGTTACGGTAAACGATAAAGCGCGGTTGTAATATTTTAAAATATAAATATCTATTCTCTCACGGCGCACAAAGACCGCTTATTTATCGAGTATTCGTAACACGTCCCGTAGAGTGTAAAATAAAAAGATCGCCCGACCCTATATCTCCCGAACGAGAATTTCACGTACGAAGCCGTTCCCGAAGTTGGTTGACGCTTCGAGACCAAGTTTACCCCCTGCAACTTTGAACCACTTGACATTATCTGTTTAGGGACGTCGTAATCCACCAACAGGCGTGAATAAGCATGCGATAATTAGCTACCCTTGATAGTGCTTAAGAAACTTTGCGACATGCACTTATTACCGTCCCGCTGGCACGGCCCGTTGAAATATTTTCAAAGGAAATTTCACTGTCAACGTAATGAATGGGGGTGACGATGAAATTTCCGCCTTCCAATATTTTTCCATTAATCTCTCCCCGTCGGTGGACGGGCTAAAAAATAGTGAACGTAATGTGGCATTAAATTATTATTACTCATTGTATGCTCAACGGTGAGGAGGGGTGAAAAGGGGAGGGGGAGCGGGCTATCGTTGCGCGCAATCACATGTATGTAGAAATATATATTTAGAAATGTATGCAAATCTTTTGAATGTAACTTAACGAAGGATTCACCGCGACGACGACCCAGTTCTCCCTGTGATATCTCGTTTTAAATCAAACGACGAAACTTGAATGTTATTTCAGTCAAAATTGAATGTTTCAGATTCGACGAGCACTGCCACGGGCCCGATTTTTGTATCACCAGTTGGAAATCAAACTGCCGCGATTGGCCGCGAGGTCGTCTTTTCCTGCAGCGTTCGCAATATAAGCATTCGCAAGTACAAGGTAATGACATTGGAAAAGGTAATGTGCGTAAGCGCGAATAAGAGAGCCACGTGGATTAAAATGCGCACGCATTTGCCGCGCACTTGATGGCCCTTTATCCCGTAATTGGATTTTATCGCCACCGCGAGTGGTCGCATTTCGAAGAGTCGTTTTTATACTCTTTCACAACGTTTTTTTTTTTTTTTTGCGTAGCGCTAAAAATGACTACCGTTCCGGTTCACGGGTGAATCGTATCGATGTAAATTCGAATTAAAACAACGCGTAACGCTTGTGTCAGCATTCGACGAAAATCGTTCAGATTTTCGTCGCGACGGAAATGGTACAAGCCAAGGTACGATGTGACAAAACGCAACGTAACAAATGTCGACTATTCTGATATCGCAAACGTAAGGTCACGTAACGTTCGCTAGAGACGTGCTACGTAACAAAATTGAATTGCCACGAGTGAAAAATTCGCCATAAAAGTAGTATCTCTTTTTGTTCCTTCGCACGCGCGCTTAATCTTCATATCGCGTCACTCCTCTCCATCGGAAATAAAATGAAATAAAGCCAACAGAAGTAAAACAAATCGTGGTTAGATCAAGTCGAATTGCGCCTGCTGGTCAAACTAATCTCGAAATTAAATACGAAATCAGAAAGAAAAAAAAAAAAAAGAACAAGTTTTTCTCTCGTCCTAACAAGATTGTACATAAGCTCTTTTCTCTTCCATTCTACTTTTTATTTTTTTTTTCTTCCATGTGTATTTAAGTTTAATTTATACTCCTCATAATTATACTTTACAATTCTTTTCCGCGTCTACCGTCTGTATTTTCTTTTTTCCGTATACTTGTCATCTTTCAGAAAGTAGATGACGTGCTCTTTTAGAATATAATAAAATACCGTCAATTTTATTCGATCTTAATACTACTCGAGGAAACGACAGTTGCATATTCGCGTTGCGTTGCCGGGCTTTCCAGGTTGGATGGCTACGTAACTCGGATCAGACAATCCTCTCGATACACACCCGGATCGTGACGCATAATGCACGTATCTCGGTTTCCTATGAGAGTGGCGGAAGTTCCGGGTCCGGCGGAGCGTCCGGCGGCACTTTCGGAGTGACGGGGAGTAGCCAAGCAACGGAGGAAGTCGTCAACGGCACGTGGCGCCTGCACATTCGTCAGTTGAAGGAGACCGACAGAGGTTGTTATATGTGCCAGATCAACACCAGTCCGATGATATCTGAGCTCGGTTGTCTCGACATACACGGTAAGCTCGGTTATCTCTGCTTCCCCATTGTCCCCGTATCAAACTAATCTAACAACGTTGCGGAGAATGTATAATTGATTGATCGAGAATTCAGGATCATCTGATACAGCTTGCATCTGATACAGGTTCTTAAAAAAAAAAGGTAAATGTTTGGATTAGCTTACACATCACGGATCGTTTTCATTTTTACATATATTGTAGAGGGTACATTTCTAAGTAATACATGTTTTGAATTTTATGGCGCTCTCTTCTGGTTCCAGAGATATGCGATTTTGAAATATCATCAATTTCGTATTTACTTGTATAATCTTTTCGTTATATCCTACTTGCGTGTTTATATTTTTTTGTTTACATTTACTTGTGTGTTATTGAGTCACTGTCAGTACGCTTCTGGATTACTGTTCAGTTTTGTTAAGAATTTCTTTTTGTTTACATTTAATTGCCGATATGATTTAATAAGATATAAACAATTGTATACTGTTTCGTTTTGTAATATTTTTCTTATTTTACCTATATTTTATTTTAAAAAAATATTTATTATTATGTATAAAAATAACAAGGAAATCTTTAAATAAAGATTCATGCGTTTATTTTATAATAAAGTTGAATTATATCAAGATTAAGATCAAGGTTGGGGCTAAATTTCATTTTCTTAAAATGTTATTTTTACAATACTTCAAAATCGCATATCTCTGGAACCAGAAGAGAGCGCCATAAAATTCAAAACATGTATTACTTAGGAATGTACCCTCTACAATATATGTAAAAATGAAAACGATCCGTGATATCTAAGTTAATCCAAACATTTATACCAAAAAAAAATTCCTTTTCGGATATTTGTTGGTTCTAATGATAATCGCATTGCTTATGTATCAAAATATATTTTTTTCTTTTTGCTTTCTTCTTCCCATTTCTCGCAAAAAAACTGATTCTAATTATGCCGGTTATTATAGATATCAAAGGTAATGTTAAACGCCGCAAAATTGAACGTTGAACGTATGAAAAGTAATGCATAACATAAGCGTTTATTTAAACATTTATTTAAAGAACATGCAAATCGATACGCGGAAGGAGAGAAAAAGGAACGTCCCATATGCAAAATCCTTTGCTCGAACGAACGAACAACCGGAAAACGCGTATGCCAACGTACAAAAGATCTCCCCGCCGTAAAATTACCTCCCTCGTCTCGAACATTCCGCTTAAGTGTAACTATCCTCGCTCCTTGTGCTCTACATCCTTTCTTTCTCTTGCCTTTACCGTAAATACTTCCTTGAAGATACTCGTTCTTTCAAAGACGAGGTCCAACAAAGTGCTAGTTTTACGTAATGACTTTCATAAAGTACTTGTACGAGAGAAAGAAAGAGAGAGAGAGAGGGAGAAGATACTCTGTCGCACGCTGAGAGATGGCAGGTGGACCATCATGTATTTATCGGTACGAACATTTGCCCCGCAGTGCCACCCGATATCGTTTACGGAGATACTAGCGCAGACCTGGCAGTAGCCGAGGGCGACAACGCGACTTTGAGCTGTCGTGCGACGGGACATCCACCTCCGAGAGTATCCTGGCGAAGGGAGGACGGGGAACCCATCGTCATAAGGGCCCCTACAGCCGGTAAGAATCACTATCGATTAAGACAAAGCGAACAATTGAAATTTCGGTTCTTTTTATTTGTGTACATCATTATTAATCGTTGCCACGAAGCACAAGATTGAAAATCATCCACAAGTCTAAATGTCTTAAAATATACACGTCATTCGAATACATGAACGATACATTCTGATAAAGTATTTAAAGGTATTTTTTTAATGCATTATCAATACATCAATTTTTATAATTTATGCTATTTATGAAATTTTAAAATTGATTATTCATGCAAAATAATTTATTAAAAATGTTAAAAAGATATACAATAATCGACGCGATATCTTTCGTCAATTTGGATATAAAATTATTTTAGCACGATATAAAGTTAACGATAAAAAATGATGATAGATAAATAAAAAATTAAAACTTCAATTTTTCGCCTACTATCGACTCGAGGTACGTGATTCCACAACGCGCGTTAAAGATAGATGCGAAATTCTCACGAGTGGTAGTTGTTACACGCGCTCCAACACATAATTCAATATTAATGGGATAATTAAATGCCACTAATATCTTAGTTACCTCGTAGTTACCTGGTCGAGATGCGTTAAAGCGCGACCTATTATCGAAGTCCGGGAATGCGGACGAATCCTTTCCCGATTGCAGTTATCGTTATTGTCGTCTTTCCATCGATTTTCCTATACCGAACGGCAATATTCGTAAAATCGTTTTCTTGTTCAGCTGCGAAAAGTATTTTTTCTCTTATTCATAGGAATTTGACTCGATTGTATACTAACGCGCGAGTATATAAGGCGCTTATATCGAAACACACTTGTTTTATTTGTCTTCTGCAATATATATATATATATAGTTTAAGCGCGAAATTTTTTAAAAGAACCTCTATTAAAAAAGAAATTTAATGTAAAATCTCATCAAAAATTTGCAATTGTTTATTGATATTTCCTTCATATCTAAAAAAAAAAAATGAGACAACGATGATTTACGCGATCCCGAAGATCAACTCAAACAGTGAGAAAGCTACCGGACGAGGAAAGTCGGTAATAAGTCAAGAGAGAGGGAACGGGAGACTTTTTGAACTCGTATTCTTGCCTAGATTGGGCGTAAGGACGTAGACGAGTGGATGTAACGAGTAAGCTCGTTGAAACAAGTTCCTCTTTGTGAACTGGCCTCGAAGACGGTGGCGATGGAACGCGGAGGGTGCGGGACGCACAATCGAGAGGATTTCCTCTCTCGACGGTATTTCGGTTTGTGCGCGTGTACATTACATAGAGAGCCGGGCTATATAGCGCAAATTGGCGCACATACGCTTACGTATTCACAGTCGCGAATCTCTCTCTCTCTCTCTCTCTCTCTCCCTCTCGAGTTATCAAACTAATCGACTATAACTATCTATCTTATCCATACGACCGGCTATCCATACGAATCCGTAGCGCGTAATTGCGCGACTATATTTTTTTATCAACGGGGTCATTATCAATACTAATTATAAGTGGAAAAATTGGCAAATAAAAGCCAAGACATTATCGGTGCGTAAACTTTTTGTTATTAAATTTCACTGATAAGTATGCATTAAAAATGACGTTTTGAATCATTTTTGGTCGATTTTCAGCCTAGATAACAAAATATAAAAATCAATTTCGTATTAAAAACTTTACCCTGCGCAATACTGGTTGCTATAATCAAAAATTCAAATAGAAATCGATAAATGACAAACGATACTGAAGAACGACTCATCAAAGGAGTTTTTATCTTGGGCACAAGCGCGCTCGTCTTAGACTCTAAGAAATTCGGTGAATTTTCCCAAGTATAAATAGTCTAAAAGAATTAAGCGTGTATTTTCCCGTTTCCTAGTCTACTAGTCTAATTTGTACGTTTCCAATCAAACTTTTAACTATTGTTTCGTCTTTCTCTCGGTACTGTAATCGGAAGGTAGAATAATGAAAATCCGATGTAATCAAACTCTGTTGTTTTCATTGAGAAGGAACAGAAAACCAAGAACGGGATCGCGATCGATCGTTTTTTTTTTTTTTTTTTTTTTTTTTTTTTTTGGTGAATACAAAGTATTCTCTGTTCTCCCGTGTACGCAGGTGGTAGCGCTTTCGAGAGGCACGACCACTACAACGGTTCGCTGCTGCATTTCCACCGTGTCGAGAGGCGACAAATGGGAGCGTATCTCTGCATCGCCAGCAACGACGTGCCGCCAGCAGTTAGCAAGCGGGTGACGCTCGCTGTGAATTGTAAGCTCAAATTCGCTCGCTCGCTCGATTCGTCCCGATTCAATCCAGATTCGATTCGCCTCACTTCGCCGATCGTCTCTCGGAAAATAATTCGCTAATCGACTCGGAAAAACAATCGCTCGATCGACGCGAGTTGTCGCGATTGCTTCGAAAAGGAAAATTTCAAGAATAAAGAAAGCACACTTTGAAAACGTAAATGAAAATTTGAACGCACGAAAATTTTGCGAGAATGCGAAGCTTATTTCTTATTATTCATTTTTTCGCATAATTTTTAAACGTGTTAAATATATCTCAATGTACCGTGCCCGTTTTTAAATTTTCTTTGTATAAAAATTCCGATCCAATTTTTTATTTGGAAATTGTATGAAGAAATAAATAAGACGTGAGCTTCTCGTTTCGATATGTATGTTCAGCAAAATTTCAGCATTTTATAAAAATCAAATTTTCGTTTCGTTCTCGAAGGAAATTTTATTTTGGAACTTTTCTTGTATATGCATATATTCGACAAAAAAAAAGTTTGTTCGCGGTTTTTAAACTTGCTTTATTTCCATAGTTGCACCCGTCGTAAAAGCACCCAACCAACTATTGGGCTCACCTCTGGGTACGGACGTGCAGTTAGAGTGCTATGTCGAAGCGTTTCCGAACACGATCAATTATTGGGTAAAGAATCAACGAGGCACGGAAGACGAAATGTTATTGGAGGGGTGAGCTATTTCGCTCGTTATTTTCTTAATACAAATAATTGCTCGCTATAACGTTGCTCGAGATATGAAGTAACGATAAAATCCATATAGCACAGAACTTTTCAGCTACATCGTATAAAGGCACATCGAAATTGTAAAATTCTAATACACAAGATCGCAGCAATATTGAAATAAAAATATTACAATCAAATCTGATGTTAATAAATAATATTATAATCAAATATGATATTGGATCTCGCTAAGAGAATTTGTTTAGCAAGAATAATTTTAAAAATATCGAAATTATGATAGATTGAAAAGTATTTATTAATTATATTAATATGTTTATTAATATTATATTAGTATGTTACACACAATCGTTACGTTTTCTGCAACTAATACGAAAGATGGACATTTCAACATTACTAAGTCAACAATTTTTGCACATATGTTACAAATATATTGCAAATATATTTTTCTGCAATGTTTCTGTAAACTTTCTGTGCCATATGGGAATTGAACTAAAAGTGCTCGTTCGATAGAGATTCCTTACTACTTGCCGAACATTTTTCTTTCTATTTTTCTTTTGGAAAACATTCTGAGACTTATTCCTGTAATGCGTAGCCCTAAATATAACGTGCGAGAGGAACGTACGGGATACACGGTCCTGATGTGGCTTTTAATCAAAAAATTCACGGAGAAAGACGTCGGTAGTTATAAATGCGTCTCAACGAATAGTCTAGGAAAGGCGGACGGAACTTTGAGATTATACGGTAAGTTTACGCGTATGTGAATGTGTTTTTATGGTTTTTCGATCTGCGATGTATCAAAATTTTCAAAACTCTATCCGATATCTATTTTCAGAGATTAAAATTGGTTTCGAGAGAGCATCACGTGGAAAAGATCACGTATCCATTATCGGTGGTAAGTAGAGCAAATTATTCTCGCGAACGATACTAACTTGATTGTCATAATATAATTTCATAATCTCTTTAGAGCTTCTATATGTGTGTGTGTATGTATGTGTATGTGCGTGGATTTTCAGCGCAATCGATTCCGCTGTCGCAGAACCGATTTCGCATTTTTTTTTCAGTGAAAAGATATAATTTTCGTAGGATTAGCCGAGGCTGCTCAAAGTTCCGGTGCCAGCAACGGCGTCGAAGGTTTCTCCGGAAGTGGTAGCAGCTTGTCGCACATCCTATCGATGTTTTTCTTCATACCAATACTGTGGCCACGGTGAAGAAGGCATCCATTACTGGTCACCGCTAAGCTACTTAGTGCCGGATGACTTTGTGCCAAAAAAAAGACAAGAATGTAGAGAGAATGTGCGAGTGCGAGAAAAGTACTGTAGTAGAGAACGTGTGGCAAAAGAGCGCTCAAAAGAGAGAAAAAAAAAAGAGAAAAAGAGAGAGAGAGAATGAGAATAAGATAATAAATCGGAGTCTTTAGTGCTCCAAATTCTTCCTACTTTCCTTTCCTACTCCCGAGGACATTTTTAGATCAATGGATGTTGTCAATGTACGCGTCGCTTTAGATTCGCTTTTCGCGGATCGATCGAGTAAGCTTGATTCATACGACTCGTATAGCCATCGCCAGAAAACAGACCGAATCAATAAAACATTGTGCTATATAATTTTGCCATTTCAACATACTTTATGTTTTATGCTAAAAATATTGTACAGCATTCTCTTTCAGAACACGGATATTTCAACGTTGCTGCAATTTTTCGAGGACGTTAAAATAACATCGCGGAATGTATTTGCAATTATTGCAAAATATCTTTGCAATGTATAATCTTTCATATGGATAATCGGTTTTGACGGTAATTGTACGGATAGTGTGAATCAGACTTGAACCGTCGACACGCGAATCGAGGAATTCGAAAGGGAGGGATTCGCCATCGCGGAGATGCTTAATGAATCGACGATAATAATCAACGGTCATTTTGTCATTGATTTATGCGCTGCTGACTGACTTTGAACGTCGGAAAACTTTGATGTTTCGAAATAAAAGTAAGGCTCGAACGTTGTACTTTATTTCGCGTTTAATCATTTCAACCTACTTTAAGCCTGCTTTTTAGGTAATTATAATATATATCATGCAATCTATAATTCGCAACAAAATTTAGGACAAAATTTTATTTGTAATTTTCTAATGTATCCTGATATATATTTTACATATTTATGTATTTTTATTTATTTAGATATTTTCTGTATTATATGACATAAAATTAAGAATAAATCTTTGTCCTATATTAGGATTTATTTAATCCTTGCCATGCAATAACTAAAAATTACTGCATAAATATAGAATTTATTGTATAAATTTAGAATATTATATAAAAAATTATATCGAAATTTACATATAAATTCCTGAAAGATTTGTCTCGTGCAAATAAATTCAAATTTAATACTGTACTTTATTTTCGTGCCTGCTCACAAGGTGGCGTCACCTTCCAGTATCTTGTAGCGAAATTATAATTCGGCGGGAACGAGATATATTTCTCCGCCATATTGTGCCGTCTCGTTAACAGAGAGAAACCTGAGAGACGTCACGGTCCAGTTTTAGGTGATTCCTCAAAACAATACGTCCTTTGTGGACATTGAATATATAGCCGATGTCCACAGAAAGCGTATCATTTCGAGGGATCATCTAAAACACGGGTTGTGACGTCTCTCAGGCTTCTCTCTGATCGTAAAGATTTATTTCTTCACACATACATCGCTTATATGTTAAATCAGATATAAAACTTTCAATGTTATTTTTGGTACTAAAAAAGCAAAAAATAATATTGATGCAAAATATACATACTTGATACATAATGGTCGACGCAATTTTCACCGAACTTCGATGAGAGCGTGATGTAACGAACGGGATTCCGCGAACACACAAACGGATCGGCACTGAAATCGCGATACTGTCGCACAATAGCGGTCGCACGCGATGTTTAACACGTTACGGGCAATGTTTAACACTTTATAAGAGACACTAGCAATAATCTTTCGCGCGCAGGACTCACTTTTCGACAGTAATCGCGAAAAAAACGCGGAGCGATACAAGGAGCGATTCGTGGACGCGATTTTTGTGAAGGATTTGAAACTGTCGAATGAGCTACATTGCGATTCTCGAAAGTATCGAAGTATCGAAGTATCGAAGTAACGAACCAATCACATCGATCGGCTGAGCATCCAAGCCGAGTTCACACGTTACATTTTCCGACACTGCTGTTGGTATCCCTGACAAGTGTTAAACGTCGCGTAGTAATTTTTAATTCAAGTCAGTTTAATGTAACCTGTTTATCAATAAGCTGATATTTTGACGATTAATTGACATTGATGAATGATCGGCGAATAATAAAGAACAATGTGTATTTTTTTCTCTTTTTACAATAATTTTAAACGGACTAATAAACTAATTCAATTGAATATTATTCTTGTAGTAAGAAATTACGGTTAGATTTTTAGATAAACTTTTGGAATTGTTTAATAATAACTATTATGTAAGTATAAAAATTTTAATATAACGTGAGATTGATTATATTTTCTATTATCTCATATATATAAATTTTTGACACAGCAGCATATGACAAGATTGACTTCACACACAACAATGGCAGAATCGGGAAATACAAGCACATTAGAGTGGACGCGTCCCGATCAAGTGATGCAATTACATCGTATGAAGTTAAAGAAACGCGCACTTCAAGCACGTATAAATAAAACAAATATTAACGCTGGGGAAGTTCAATGTAATGCTACAAAATTAAATGGAATTAATTCCAATAGTAGTGTAATGCAGCATGTACCTCAGAAACGTAAAAATCCTTTTGCAATTAATGAATCGTGCAAGAAACAGAAGAATATAACGTCAGCTGGATTGGAAATAAGTAGCGACAACACATTGTTTGAATTACTAAATATTGACGTCCAGCGAGGGAAGCAAACAATAGATTCATCTGTAAACAACTCTTTAACTTTCGCCAATGTTCTTTCAAAATTGGAATCCACTAGTCAAACTCCTGATGAAAATGTTCCAAAGGGAGAAAAGCATATACCTATAGATTGGACGTTAAAAACTAAAATAAGATTTATGTCTCCAAAACCTTTTCCATGGAATGGCAAACTTAAAACAAGCGAAGAGGCATCAGGTACCACAGGATTTGTTAGATGTCTAGACATTGGAGAAAAAGAGACAACTTTGGATACTAGTCTAAACGCAAGGTTGGTTTTATTAACTTTGCTCGCCTAATTTTGTTTTTTTAATGTTTGTTTATTATTAATAATGTTTGTTGACTATTTTGATTAGATTTCATCAATGCTGCTTGATATGGCAGCATCCATCTTTACCATGGTTAGAGTTATTCCCACGTTCTGCGGGCAAAGTGAGCGCTAGCCTTGCAAATAATATATCACTGGTAAACAATCAATGTATGAAAGATGCATTGCACAGAGAATGGTGCGATAGCTTCAGATCATTGTTTCATTTGCTGCGAGCAAGGCAGTGTCCATACTTTTATATATGCGCTAACACATTTACAGTACTATTTCGTGCTGCTGGTATCTGTGGATTGTCAGAGATTCATGCTCTTCTAACACCTACTACACGTGGATTTCGTCAATCATTAAAACAAGAAGGTGGGAAATTCTGTTCATTTATGTATTTATTTATAATATGATCAAAATTAATATAATTTAGCTGTGCCATCAGTTGTTTTCCTTAATATTTTTCAGAAATAGAATACTCTATGCCATTAAGGAAAGATTCTAAAAGACGATCCGATGGGGGAGATTCCGCTACTATGACTACAGATGTTATGTCTAATACAACGAATCATCAACAAGATGATTATGAAGAGGAGGAAGAAGAAGAAACTCAAGATGCATGGCTCAAAAGTCTTGGAGTAGAAAATTCAGAAATAAAAAGAATTAATTACTCACAGGTATTTATATATATATATTATAATTATTTATTGTCTAATATCAATTCAGTCTAACGTTGCGTTTTGTTTTAGACGAGGATGACTTTGGAGAAGGAAAGTGAAATAGATAATTTAAAACAATCGCTCGTCTTTGTAAAAGGCGTAGAGACGCAGGCATTATTCAACTTTCTAATTAATTGCAAATCGGCTATCGCGGCAACCGGTGCGTTAGCCGGCGTTCCTCCTACGCTTTTAGCTCCGACGGCTTTCCACGGTGCCACATTAAAAGCGCTTAAAGTATTGCATAATTTATATAAAAAAATACAGCTTATAATCAATTTTTTTATTATACACAACCACATACATTATTATATTACTTTTCTTAATGAAGGTCCGAGAAAGTATAGTACGCGTTGATAACGATAGATATTACTCTCTGGAACTGAAAGGACCTCTTTTGCCACATGTGTTACCTTCTCTCTGTCATTTGATGACATCTAGTCAATTGGAACAATATTCGGCAAGCTGCGCACAACTGGCATCCACAACTCCATTTTCCACGGCAAAGCATGGCACAGGTATGTGATATTCATATGTGTTGGCGCGAAATCTTGTGGACCAAATAACGAGAAGAGTTTTGTCATAGGTTACACGAGCGCCACGAAAGATGAGGATCGTAATAATGTTACAAAAGTACCCACTAACGTCTTTGGACAAGAAAATCTGAGCGATTGTGGATTCAACGAGGAATTGTTGAGCTACTTTTGCAATCCTGACCCGGCCAGGATAGAAGTCTTTGAAAGTTTTAAATTCTTCAACGGATTATATACCTGGTCATAATGACACGAATATTTTTAATATAGAAATAAACACGAATTTAAGTATGCACAGGTTTGTATTCATCAAATTTAAATTAATAAAAAGCAGCCTAGATATTTTGTTCTAAGTATAAGAACAATATTACATCGCTGGCAACATGTAACATTCATTATAAGGAACATACAAAATACACACGAACATACAGTTTGTTTGCTGTTGTATAATTGTATAATGTACATATATATGTAAAAAGTGAAATTTAAATTCATTTTTATTGACATGGATGTAATACTCGGCGCAAATACAATGTAAGACAATAATATTATCGACAAAGATAAACACATTATATAATATTATCGATATTAGATAAAAACTTTAGATAATATTATCGATATCAGATAAGAATGTTTACATCAAAAACGACATAACAGTACGATTGATGTGAATAATCCTGACAATAATTTTCTCTCCATTACAACAAAATCGACGTTATATTTTATAAATATATAAATCCTATCTTGTTTGATATTTTTCTATTTATAAAAAAAAATAAAATTTTACTATGTTTATACTATCATGGATATATATGCGTTTAAGAAAAGAAGGAAGGAAATTTTGATAAAAACGAAGAGATAGTTATTATACTAATTCAGTTCGATCCGATTAAAAACAATATTTTTTTACTCTTAGCATAATTTAAATTCCGATGTTAGAGTGTAAATTACGCGCGGTAATATCCATTAAAAAGAACCGTTCGAGGTCCCCGGGAACGAGGTAGGTGGGGTCCATACAGCGGATGGACTGCCCCTAAAAATAACGAATCGATATTCGCCCGCTGCCCCCAAATCAGTCGCCGGACTCGCTGGACTCGCCGGGTCACCGAAAGAGAAAAAGAGAGAGAGAGTCACAATACGAAAAATCAATTCATTTATTAACATCAGGATGTATTATCCCCCCTGTCGCGCGGGTTTCGCATCGTGCAAACCGCATCAATTATACCCAGATCACCGTACAAGGCATCGCGAGCAGCGTAAACATCACGATTCTCCGACGATAAACGGGATCGTTAAAGAAAAACGTGTCGTCCCCGCATGACGGCATTGACAGGCGGTTGTCGGATGCGTCTGCCCGCGATATGCGCATCGGCAGAATGCATAGACGGCAGTCGGTCGCGTAATCGTTTACGTACGGGGATTACGTCAGTGCCCGTGTCGCCGTATTGCGACACTACACCGAGCGGTTTCATGTTCCAAGGTCTGCCACGAGGAGCGGCTCGAATTTTCGTTGCGACGCCGTCCATCGTCGACGCGCTTCCCAGCCGCGTATTTTTTATTTTCGCAAATGAATTTTTGCCTTTTCTCCTCGCGAAGCGGATATCTCGCTCTCGAGCGGAATTTGAAGATGCTAGCAGAAGAGTACGCTTGTCTCGTAGACGACGGTTCAAATACACATACGTAGTATGGCCAAAAGATATACACTTGATAAGGAGATATATTAACGATATTTAATAAATAATATATTGATAAAATTTTAATAAAGCGTAACAGGATGAGACACACCCTCTATGCATGGGTTCATACATTATGTGCCTGGATATGCCTCGTGTCCTTCGGCTTGAGCTACCTATTATCTACCTTTATCGGTGTTGCATTATCGAAATGTCGATAGTCATTTATACATTAAGCAGATGTAAATTATGCGCGAATCGAGAATATTCTAATATCTCCCCCGTACACCATTCTTTATATACGCGCGGGGCGAAGGAATAATGTAAAAGAAAAAAGAAAAAGAAAAATTCGAGCTCGTTGCGCCAAGAGAAAGGAGTGTTGTTCTCGCCTGGCGAGAGGCAACCCCTTGTATAGGCGAGGATTCAGGGTGGATAAAGTCGCTGGGTACGTCGCGACGCGCCGGGCGTTGGTAAGGCACCCGCACGACGCGTAGCGAAGCGAAGGGGGCCGAGAGCACGAGGGGGGGAGGGGGTCGTAGCGGGAGCGAGACGGGTACACAACCGGAGAGACTATTCGATTCGAAGAGACAAAGATGAACGACGTGAAATCGGGGCTTGAGCCGAAAGAGAGAAAAAGATGGAAAAGAGAAGAGAGAGAGAGGAAGAAAGAGACAGAGATAGAGAGAGAGAGACGATAACTCTCCCTGTGGCACGCATTACACGTACAGTGCGCACGTGTGCGTATGCGTGCGCGGGGGGTTTCGAGAGGTCGGCACACGACGACGACGACGACGTCGACGATGTGCACGACTACTACGACACCGCGTGGGGGTTGCACGAAGACCCCCTGGTGGGGTTCTGGCTGCCGATCCTACAGTCCCCCGCTGGAAATGATATCAGTCGCGACTCGGTCGAGGGAGCCCCAGCACGTCGTTACACCGTGTGCGCCGTGCCCCTCTTATAGTAATATATAATATATATATATATATATATATATACATATATACATCTCGATATATACGAATACCGCCCCTCCGAACGAAAAATATCGCGCTCATCATCGTCGTCCGGCTCCATCGCTACGTCTACCTGCGGGGAGGCCTACCTGCCCTCGAATACGCCGAGGATACGTCGCAGCCAGCATCCGGGGTGGCCGGGACGACGATCCCTATTCGACGAATCGGTCGCGAGAGATATCTGTAAGACACCGAATAGGTACGTGGCCAGAGGTAAGCCGCGCCTTCGATCTCGCCTTCGTCGCGTTTCCCTTCGGAGCGCGTTATCCGAGGCGCGACGTCGACGTCGAGGCGCGGATATTAATAGAGCTCGGCGAGAGAGAGGCAACATGGGGCGAGCGGGGCACCGGCGTTGCGCGGCGACGCGATGCGACGCGATGCGACGCGACGTCGAGCGTCTCTCTCTCCTTCGCGCTAAACTCGCGCATTCCTCGACACGTTAGTCACGTGTATAAGCCTCGCTCTCCTCTGCTTTTTGTCATTTTCCGCGTTCCCCCTCGCCTATGTATATACGCAAGTCGCACGTGAGCGACGCTCTATCGGCGCACTCGCGCCGTCAGCATCATCTCTCTCGTCGTTTTCTTCGCTCGAATCAACGCTCTTCAACTTTTATATATATATCAACGTCTCGATCGGACGCTAAAACGGAAATGCTCGTGGTCTCAAGGCCTTCTCGGGACTTGTCATTTAAGGCAAAATTATTCGAGCGATGATTCTATGAGCGCTGACACGATTAGTTTCGAAACGTATATCTATATCAGGAGCGACTACACACGTGATTCTCTCCCACTGTTGACTTTTGCTCTCTCTCTCTCTCTCTCTCTCATCTCCTTTCGTTCAATTGAGATTTTCACGTACATAAATTCCGCGAAATCTTCCTCGAGCGCCTCTTATTTCGACGAAGTAAAAAAAGAAAAAAAAAACAGAATTCATCGTTGCAAAACGACGAAGCTAATTGTCTTCGCTTCGCGAAAGCATCGTCCATTTCGACCGAGCCACGTCCATTCGAGTTTCTTCCGGTCGTGACAGGATGATGGAAAAAAAAGGGTGCGTTTGGCCAATTCCCGAGTACGGAACGGGAATCCCTTGGAAATGCGCGTGGGGGGGTCCACCAACAAAATTATGGATCGAGGCAATGCGAGGGTTCACGACTGCGCATGACTATCCGTCTCGTTTACAGCCTAGTCGTATACACGCACACGCGTATACACGCACACGCTGAACGCGGTCCCTCGGTCGTATACTGGGTAGCCCTCCTGGAGAACTTTCTTTCGAGACATGTCTTTCTCGAGCGATATTTCCATCCCTGCCAGTTTACCAACAACGTCTGTTATGCTCAATTCACAAGGGTAATTCGTTGTTATCGTGGAGATCGTAAATTTGCGAACATCGTTGTACAGAATTACAATCGCACAGAGGGCACATATGTTTACAAAAGACAAAAGATTCGAGGAAGAAATCGAACTGCGTGTTTTTAATACGAGATCCCGAGACATTGCAGAGTCGGAAGTGTCCTCTTCCAAGGTGAGCTCGCGCGGTACCAATCTTTACGTAGACTTAAATATCACTGTCGGAATCGTCGTGATTTAATGACATTTAAACGGCTATGGATAACGAGTTCCGCAATACACAATCGACTAGGAATGTGTAAGTGTATTCGTGAATATGTCTGTGTACGGAGATCGGAATAATTGTGCGGAACGTGTCAATTAAAACGACACGAGGCCCCCCGTCGCCCCCGCGTCACGCGACTACACGCGACCCACGACCGCGATTATTTCACTTATGATGCAACGATTACGGATTGCGGAAGGCGAGGATATTAATATTCCGCGTGTATGACGATTAATAACTACTGTCTACTGTTACGATAATAAGTGCGGCATGTTTGCGCCGCATTTACGCGAGTTTATAAGTTACACTCGATTAAGAGAGAGTCTTCCCGCTCGATTATGATATATCGGGAAATATATTTTAATCCGCAATTCTAATTAATAAGTGAAAATATTCGAGATTTTTTATTTATTTTAGAGAAAAAAGTGCAAGCGATTTTGCCTTTACTAATAATATATAATTATANTAATATAATATATAAATATATAATTATATAATTATATAAATATTATATAAGAGCGATATAATAACAATAAACAAAATAAAGTAAAGTACTCTGAGTCATTCTAAGAACAACACAAAGTTGCATAAAACAAATATTTTTAATGTTATGATTAATTAAAATTGCATAATCCAACAATACATAACGATATAATAGATCGTTGATAATTCGAGAATCACTTAGAATATTCTATCTATTATACATATTATGGGAGAACGTGTGTGTATATATAATATATATTGTTTTATACACAATTACAAAGAAGTTTTATGTGCATATAATATTTTAGGGATTCGATAATACTCGATAAAAATATGGGCGAGAAGACGTTCAATCTTACGTGGAACAATCACCTGGCGAACCTGTCGGGATTGTTCGAGGCTCTTTACAAGAGCGGCTCATTGACAGATGCAACGTTAGCTTGTCAAGGCGGCATGTTGAGGGCCCACAGGCTGGTACTGGCAGCATGTAGCCCTTACTTCGAAAGAGTCTTTAAAGAACATTATGGAGAACAACCCATCCTCATTTTAAAAGGTATACATCGATGACGTGCTTTAGCAAAACTTTTGTAACATTTCGATCAAACGGATACTTAATAAATCGCGTTTGCGAATTCACTGACGTTGCAAAAAAAAAAAAAAATTCGGTTTTGCAAGCCAAATCATTGAATACTCGAAATTCCTTGAACTTTTTATACAAGGTGTTCTCACATGTAAAGCTATTATGTGCTATGACAGCAGTACTCCATATACATATATTGCATAGAAACTGAAAAAGTACCATTGCTATTTTTATTTCGGAATAAATTAGCTTGCAATACTTTACACTATTTTTAAATTTATTAAGGGGAATTGTAAAATGAGCATTCTATACATTTGACATTTAACGTTTAGGCGTAGCCGTGGAAGAGATGGAATGTCTCTTGGACTTCATGTACAGAGGATCCATCGATGTAGCGGAGGAGCATCTACCCTCGCTAATAAAAACTGCGACAGACTTGGAGATACGCGGTCTCTCCGGAGAACAGAAAAATCAAGAGAGTAACCGTAATCTCTACACGAGGGTCGAAACGCGGATGCAACGATGCCATATTGAAACCAGAGTACACACTACCGAATATATCAAAGAACCATCGGTGATTCCTTTTCTACCGAAACACTCGACCGTTGATTCCATAGAAGACCATATTAAAGTGGAGGATATCGAAGTGGAGGACGACCCGATGGTAATCGACGGGCACGAGGATAGTTTCGACGAGCTTCCGCGATCCACGGAAACGCAAATTGTAAGCTCGGCCGCTTTTAGCTTTGCTCTTTTACCTCCAAGATTCTATTTGTCATTTGCGCTTGATTTTGATCCACCTCAGTACGGAGAGTCATTCTCAATTAACTCAAGAGGCAATTGTGTCTCTCTCGATGTAAATGTATCAATGACTTCCAGAGACGTATACCACCACCGATGTACAAGCGAGAAACTAGATTCAAAGGGCAAAAAAGGGTATGTGTAGGTCGTGTGACACGAAACAGCGACCCTTTGGAATCGAAAGACTCCTCGCGAGAATCGAGCTACGAGGATTCCTCAAGAGTCGTCAAACTTGAGCCTAATTTCAATGACGGATCCACGGATGTCGCGACATCGGGTGCGGTACAGGTGAGAATTATTTATCGTTTATGAAAATGTATCAGAAAATTGTTTCCTTTTCTCTGGCATCTCTTCTACTAATGTAAAATAATGCTTTTTCGACTCTAATAATTGCAAGATGGTTTCAAGACGGCACAATTGTAAATTTGCTCGTATAGGAAACTTCGAAAGGCTCGGAGGAACCGTCAAAAACAGGAATAAAGAGAAAAATTGAAGTCTTGAAGAGAGGAAACGAAGGGAAAGA